AGTCACCCATTTTATTTATACTGAGCAGTGCTGAACCCCTCGTATTGTTTGTTGTAAAAAAAAAGGACGATGCTGTGGAAGGGAAGGAAATGCTGCTTCTTGCACCACAACAAAGCGTAAGACACTGAAAAGCCGCACCAGAGCCTTAAATATAGACAAAATAAGAGTCATCAAAGCCAGGGCTGTGCAAATGAAAAAAAAAAAAAGGCAAAACCACCCTACGTTATTTAGAACGAATAGCATAAATAATCATACATAATCATCCGCTTTTCACACTGGGATCCATTAGTTCTCGATTCGGAAACTTTCTCAGCCCCCCTTTTGCTTCTTTTCTATTTCTGCAAACTTTTTGCTATCTGCCACCGCAAAAGAAGATCGCTCCGGGTATTTAGGATACGAAATAGCGCGTCGCTGCGTTAAGAAAATCCTGGAGATCCCACGTAGCTTCCAGCAGGAGCAAATCCGCGCCCTTCCCTGCGATCCAGAGGGGCATCCGCGCCGCCCGCCCCCTGGGAACGGGGCAGGCGGCGGGGGCAGCGCGAGCGGCTTCGCCGGGGGCCTCGCTCGCCTCCTCCCGCGCCCCAGCGCCAGCCCTCCCGGCTTCTACACCGAGCCCGAGATTTACGGCATTTCCCGGCGAATAAAGGGGACGATGAATTTTCTTTCTTAAAAAAAAAAAAAAAAGAAAAAAAAAAAAGAAAAAAAAGCACAAATAAAGGTTATAGCCTTAGCTCTCCACAGGCGAAGGGAGAAAAGTTCCACTTAAATATCTCTGTGTGCAGGGACCCAAAGCATTTAATATCCCATTCCCCTAAACTCAAAACAAGATATTACTGCTGTGGAGTAGGATTGTTTTGCATTAAAAACAAAAAGCTCATAAAAAGCTTTTTATTATACTCTTCTTGGACACGGCGGGGACTAAAATGCACAACTGCACTCTCGGCACATTTTTGTCGCCGCYGTGCTGGTGTGTTTCTACCTGTGAGGAAACGGGTTTCGTGGGTGCCGTGCTCCTTGTGCCGGGGCAGCGAGGCGCTCGCCCCTGTCGGCTCGCGGCGGGGAGGCGCCGCGGGCGCGGGGCGCAGCTCCGCGGGGCGCAGCGAGGGGCAGCGCGCCGGGCCCGCGCGCCGCTCCGCGCCCACGCGCGTGCGCGCGGGGCAGCAGGACGGGCGGGAGGAGGGGAAGGTGTCGCCGGCGGCCGCGCGAGCGCCGGGAAACTTTCTGCTCCCRCGGGGGAAAAAGCCAAGCAAGGTGTGTGGGGGGGGTGAGCCGCCCGCGCGCGCGTGGGGGGGGCTCGGGGCTGCCCCGTGCGGCCGGCATCGCGCCTCCTCCCACCTCTGGCGAGGAAAAGGGGAATCAACTCCCGCCCCACTACTGGCGCAGGCTCGTCCGCGGGCGCTGCAACTCAGTGACTGGGGCTCGGGGGGCATTTGGGCCTCGGCAGTCCTGGGGCCAGGTGTGSAGAGCGGCGTGAAGCGCCGGGCGTGCTCGCGATCCCCGCAGCGCGTGTCCCCCCGCGCGCTGCTCGTGCTCGCGTGTCAGCCGGGCGCACACGCGGCGCGCTCGGGCTCCCTGCCGCTCCGCGCCCCGCAAGGCCCCGCCGGCCGCGGGGCGGGTCACGGGCCGCAGCCGCTGCTCCCTCCCCGAGGCTGACGCCGCCCGAGTCCCCCCCCCGAGCCGTCACCGGGGGTGCTGCCCCCAGCGCCCGTCCGTGGGGCGGCCTCTGGCCGCGCTCCCGCGAGGGAGAAGGGCAGGAGGAGGAGGGGCAGCAGGGGGAGGGGAGGAGGTGTCACCCCACAGCACGTGGCCGCGGCGCCCGGGCTGCAGCGCCAGRCGCCCCGAACAACAACAACAAACTACAACAACAACAACAACAGTAATAAAATTAAGTCACCAGTCGGCAGATGGCGGCTGGCGCCGCTCGCCGCAGTGCGCGGGAAGGCCGCGGGGAGCGCACGGGCCGCGGGGCGCGGAGGGGGGGGGTCCTCACCTGTTCCTCACCAGGAGGTCTCCGTCGCCCGGGATGGGCACGGGCGAGTCCCGCAGCAGCGTAACCGCTTCCCTGAAGTTCTGGCTCAGCTTGGTCACCACCAGCTTCTTCATGGAGCTGGGGATGGAGGAGCCCTGGAAGTCCAGGAAGTGGCGGGAATAGGACATGTCCAGGATGGGCCGCGGCCGGGGGCCAGCGAGGGCCGCCGCGGCGCCGGGCAGCTCCTGCCGCCGCCTCCAGCAGCAGCGCGGAGCCCGGCRGAGCAGCCAGGCGGCCCGCGCGCTCACGCTCATGTGCCCCGCGCCGCGCGGCTCCGCCCGCGCCCGCGCTGCCCCAACGGCCGCAACGGCCGTAACGGCCCCGCCGCCGCGGGCAAAGTTCGCCGCCCTCTCGCCTCGGCCGCGCTCCGCCCCGAGAACCTGCGGCCGGTAACAACAAACACGGCGTGGGGGAAAAATCAAAAGGCGTGTGTGCGGTGGGGAAAACGCTGGGAATGCTGCTAGGAACAATCCTTTAAGTCGCACGCTGCCTCTGGTTAACCGGTCTAAATAAATAAATAAAAGCGGGGGGACGGGAGAGGAAAAAACGCCCCGACCCCCACCCCACCCTTTATGGTTTACAAAAAAAAAAAAAAAAAAAAAAAAAAAAAAAAAGAAAAAAAAAAAAAAAAAAAAAAAAAAAACGCCAATAAAAAAAAAAAAAAAAAAAAAGAGAGAGGGGGGGAGAGAAGGGAGAGGCCGGAGGAAGCGCGATAAATTACGGCGGGTCGATAATGCTAGAGGCGCGGAGCGGAGCCGCGGGCCAATGTGCCCATGTTGCCATGAGCCGCCGCCGCGGAGCCGCCGGCCGCGCGCGGCCGCTCCGCCCCTTCCGTGCGAGACGTTTCACTTCCTCGCAAGGTGCTACGAATCAACCCCGAGCCGCCGGCGCGGCCGTTGGCGGCGGCCGTTGCGCGGCCGTTGGCGGCGGCGGTTGCGCGGCACGGGGGGGGGGGGCGCGCGGAGCGCGCGGCCCGGGCGCCCTGGGGGGCCGCTCTGTCCCCCGCCACTCGGAGCGGGACGTTGCCACGAACGGCTGTCAGTTGGCTCCGCTCCCGCGCCTGCCCCTGCTCGCTCTTACCGGCAGGAGAGCCGCCTCCTAAAGGAAAACAGTGCTCGCCGCGGAGCGCGTTCGGGAGCGGGGACGGCGCTCGAGGCGGGAGCTGGAGGAGAGGCCAGTGCCCGTGGAGAGGGAGGCGGCCCGAGGGAGATGTGGCCGCGCTGTGCGCCGGGCCCGGCGCCCGCGGTAACTCCCTCGTCGCACCCGGCGAGCGGTGCCTGTCCTGGTCGTGCGGCATCGGGAACTGACAAAAATAAAAATCAACCCCCCCCCCCCACAAAAAAAAACCCGCCACCTTTCGCTCTTTGCTTTCGGCAGAGAGCAAAATTGCAGTTCGGACTGTTTTCCTTGAGGAATCAGCTGCGTGGCTGTATTTTGCTTTCTTGACTCCAAAAGAAAAAAAAAAAACAGCGAAAGATCCCTTCTGTTCTTGCAGTTAACATTATATAAATCCCCAGACACATACTGTGCAAAATCTATTAGCAGCATGTTTCGTATGCTGCAGCTCTTGCTCTGCAATCTGTTGGTATTTTAAAGTAAGGATGAACTGCAATCTCCAATTTTTTTTTTTTTTTTTTTTTAATTCAATACTGGTTGGATGATGCCAGGGCGAGGGAGCATCTCTGGCGATTTTAGTTAAGTTTGCCAGGACGAGAGCCCCGCTCAAGTTAAACCAGCACACGCGTCTTTTGCACAGTACTTCAGCAAGTGGCTTATAACAACAACCCCCTCAGTGTGCGCCTCGCAGGAGAAATCTTTTATGCTCTGCTGTATTAAGATTTCTTCTTTTTGTGTGTGTGTGTGTGTGTCATATTGTTTAGCTCCCGAAAAAAAAAAATGAAAACAAAGCAATTAAAAAGATTGACAGGTATGGGTTTGTGTGAGACCTATTTGTAATTGTCAGGGTGACGTGGGCAGGAGGAGGAGGAGTAAGGAGCTGAAGCAGGAAAAGCAGCTCGATGTGTCTGTCTATCAGTTGAGGCTGCCTGAGAGCCCCGCGACCCGAATGTGTGTTATATTCCCGAGAAAAGAGGCGGCGGGGAGAGGGGATCTCTTTCTCTCCCAGGAGTTTGGGGGGGGGGGCACTTCACGTTAGGCTCTCCCACTCACTGAATATCTTCTCCTCCCCCCCCCGCCACCTTTGCACACACTCTCTGGGGGTTTTTCTTGGCTTTGGATTTTTTTTTTTCCTGTTGCAGATCAAGATCAGCCAAAAAAAAAAAAAAAAATCCGTCATTAAAGATGTGTTTGCGTTATATTTAGTATCAGAAGAAGCTTCGATTTGTGGAGGACAAAAAAAAAATGGGGGGGGAGCAAGACAGAAAAGTAGCCCTCTCCGGTGGTGACACTGTTTGATCTGTGACTGTTTGGAAGGTGGAGGAGTGACTGACATTTCCCATCCGGTGTCTATGTATGTACGGGGGCTTTACTCCTTTTTATTATTTGCTTTTTTGCTCTTAGACTAAGTGCTGGGAGGAGAAGGAGAGACCGGATCGACCTCGATTTTCTTCTTCTTCTTTTTTTTTTTTTCACAATGAACAAACTATTATCAACGCAATAATAATAATAATAACAATAAAAGCCAAAAGCGAGCCGCACCACCGCCAGCACCACACAAATCCACGAGGCTGAAAGGAGCCGGCGAGCAGGCGAGAAAGTTGCGCTTTGAGACTCTTTGATCTCGGAGGAAGCCTCGGAGGGGGGGAGTGACTGAATTCACCGTCTCATCGCAGCCGCTTGCTCCGCTCTGCGCCCCTTCTGCGGGAAGGAAAAGGAGGAGGAAAAGAAGAAGTTGCTGAAGAGAGAAGGGGGAGAAGGGGAGAGAGAGAGAGGAGGAAAAAGAAAGAAAGAAAGAAAAAAAAAAAAAGGAACGAGAGGAAGATGATGGATTTGGGCTACAGATTGAACTGATCAAATCGTATTTATTTTGCACATCTCCACTGGCATCATCTTCCCTGCTGCTGCTGCGGAGAGGACTGAAGAGCTTTGTCTTATAAGGAACTTAAAAGAGAGAGAAAGCGAGAGAGTGAGAGAGAGAGCGAGAGTGGGGGGGGGGGGAGGAAAATTAACCTCGTAAATGAACACGTTTCCTGAGCAAGTTTTTGGAGCGGCGGCGGAAATTGGCGCCGCTGTCGCCGGCCCGAGTGTCGCCGCGTCGCCCTCCGCACCGTCCCCCTCGGGGGGGCACCCGGAGCCGGCGACGGGAGCACCCGAGCAAACTTTTCCTCCTTCCTCCCCCCCCCGCCGCCCTCCTCCTCCTCCTCGCTCCCATCCCTCCCCACCCTCCCTCGCTCTCCTGCTAGGCGGAATTAGAAGTTGAATCCGTTTTTTCCCTCTCCCCTTCCTCCCCCTGCCGCTCGCTGCCCCCCTCCGCGGCGGTTTATTTTCCTCGCCGGCCCCGCGAGTGCGTGCGCGCGCCTGTGTGTTTGTTTCTGCATGCGAAGAGGGGGCTGCCCGGAGGAGCGGTGCGCGCAAGCCCCGCGGCGGCGGCGGCGGCGGGCGGCGAGGCGAGGCGGCAGCGATGCCGCGGAGGAAGCAGCAGGCACCGCGGCGCTCCGCAGGTAACAGCGCGCGCGGGCGGGCG